AGGCACGGTGGCTCACAACTGTAATCCCAACACTTTGGAAGGCCGAGGCGGGTGGATCACCTGAGGTCAGGAGTTCGAGACCAGCCTGGCCAATACGGTGAAAACCTGTCTCTACTAAAAATACAAAAATTAGCCGCACCTGTAAACTTCATCTCAAAAAAAATAAAAAAGTAAAAATAAAAATATCTGTTTTACTTGTAAAACATACAAACAACCTAAGTCTTTCAAAAAGTGAATACCCAGTAAACTAGCAGTAAACAATACTTTGAATATTTTCTTTCCTTTTAAAATCCTGAAAGTATAACATTAGAATTTCATTACTGTTGTGTTGAGTATTATCAACTGAAATGTAAAGAAACTTTAGTGTGTTTGTTTAAAATCTAAATTATACTATAATTAATGAAATGAGGTTAATATTACTGAAGTTGTCCAACCTATTTGATAATTGTTTTTACAGGATCTAGGGTGGTGATGGTGGTGGTGGTGTGTTTGTTTGTTTGTTTTTCCAGGGCAGAGGTTGTGGGGAAGGAACTTTTTATTTTAAACAGGATGATAGAATGAATTAACTCAGGCACATGAAGGTTTATTGAGCATAAAACACTTTCATTTGTGGATGAAAATCAACCTATCAGTTGAGGTAATGTTTGTGCATTCTGGGTCCCAAAGCCAAATGTACATTTCTCATCTAACTGCAACACTGTTAATTCTGGATATGGATTGATATGATGTTCTTTTGTATAAGACTGAAACCCAAATTCAAATTTATTGAGTTTCAGTAGCTGGAAGAAAATGCTTGCTGATTAGGAAAGGAGCTGTTGAGTAAGAACATGCATTTGTGTATTTTGGATAGCATTAATTTAAAACAATTTACATTACTGTGGATGCCCTTAATAATATGTTTAGGTGTAAATGAAATGAGTCAGTGCCTTTGAGCTTGGTTTATATGAAGATATGAAATTTGAAAAAATGGCAGACATCTCTTTTAGACAGATTTCACACTATTTAAAAAATGTAACTTTTTTTGGTTGTGATTTGAAGGGATCTCATCACATTCTTAACAAAGCAAGCTGTTAGACAAATCTGGAGTTTGATTATTTTTATTGATTTCTGTGCTATTTTTCTTAAATACAAACTGGAGATCCTTTGTTCAATGTTTTTATACAAAGAAAAGGAATTCTGCCAAAATTTCAATTTAGCTCAATTAGATCAAGTATTTAGATTTTGTAAGATGAGGCATTCTGTACAGACATAGATAAAAAGCTTCAGCAGAACAACTGCCAAATAGGGGAATTTATCTTACAAAGAAAATTGAAATTTTCTTACTGTAATTATTCTGTAAATACTTTTTCGTCAAGATTAGTTTCAGACTTTTGGTGAACAAGTCTTGATTCCAAGGATTGTTAACTTTGATATGGGTGAAATGATTATGGGGAAAACTAAAAAATTTTTCCAATGATTTTCAGTAGCACTTGGCTTAAAAAACAGTTACAAGTTTGGAGTAGAGAAAGAAAATTTACGTATTTTGCAGATTTGGAAGCAGAAGCTTGAAGATCTTAAATATCTTGTCCAGAGTCATTTCTGGAACTAAGATATAAGATTCTGGATCTAAATTCCTACTTTCTCCTACATTCTCTTTTTTTATGTCAGTATACTTTTGCCTCTCAAACTGGTTGTTGTTAGAAAGAATAAGACCTAATATTTGATAGTACAACAGGGGGATTATAGTCAATAATTTTTTTTTTGAGACGGAGTCTTGCTTATGTTGCCCAGGCTGGAGTGCAATGGTGCGATCTTGGCTCACTGCAACCAACCTCTGCCTCCCGGGTTCAAGCGATTCTCCTGCCTCAGCCTCCCAAGTAGTTGGGATTATAGGCATGTGCCACGATGCCCGGCTAATTTTGTATTTTTTTTTTAGTAGGGACAGAGTTTCACCATGTTGGTCAGGCTGGTCTCAAACTCCTGACCTCAAGTGATCCACCTGCCTCAGCCTCCCAACAGGTGTGAGCCACCGCGCCCAGTCCTATAGTCAGTAATAATTTAATTGTACATTTAAAAATAACTTAAAAAGTGTAGATTGTTTGTAACACAAAGGATGAATGTGTGATTCATGATGTGATTGTTAGGCACTACATGTCTGTGTTAGTGTACCCCATAAACATGTACACCTACTATGTACCCACAACAATTTAAGAAAAAACTGGTTGCTGTAAACTATTCTTTATTCGTTTTTGTCAGTAGTAGTTGATATCTTCTCCTCTCATGTTAGAATCCTGAGTTATTTTCACTTCTTCCCACTTTTTCACCAGTCATCAGTTTGGGCCTTTGTCTGTTTTTCTTGCCTTTGAAACTCTGGCAGATCTACCTTTTTCCATTTCCATTCTTACTATTCCACTTGGTCCTTCATAATCTTTTACCAGGGTTACTTTAATGACTTCCTGCCCACTCACCCTTTTCAAATTTGTTCTATACCATAAAATGCTGTCAAACTAACATTTTAGGAAATGCTACCTTTTTTTCCACATACTTCCCCTTGCTCTGACCCTATTACAGTTTTCTATCGGTCACTCACATCAGTGCATATTTAATATGCATTTATTTTTTATGGTGTTGGTATGGTCCTCATGGTTTTGTTAAGCAGTAGAATAATATGAATATCAGGCCGGGCGTGGTGGCTCACTCCTGTAATCCTAGCACTTTGGGAGGCTGAGGCGGGCAGATCACGAGGTGAGGAGTTAGAGACCAACCTGGCCAATATGGTAAAACCCTGTCTCTACTAAAAATATAAAAATTAGCTGGGCATGGTGGCGGGCGCCTGTAGTCTCAGCTACTTGGGAGGCTGAGGCAGAAGAATCACTTGAACGCGGGAGGCAGAGGTTGCAGTGAGCCTAGATCACGCCACTGCACTCCAGCCTGGGTGACAGAGTGAGACTCCATCTCAAAAAAAAAAAAAAAAGAAAAAGAGAATGTGAATATCTATGTGATATGATACTCATCTCAGACAATTTATTGTAAGGAGTTGGGGTTTAAATAAATACGTGATTCCTACTTCAAGTAATTTATCATTCATTTGAGGAGACCATATAGACACTGAGAAATTTAACAATAGAAAAATAGTAATAATATATATTTTTCTTTTTTTCCTACAGGTTCCTGTTGCATGTAAATCATGTCCCTGTGGTTACATATTTATTAGCAGAAAACTTCTAAATGCAAAACACTCAGAGAAATCACCACCTTCTACAGGTAATTGTGAGTTTAATACCTTTTTAGCTTTTTGATGTAGAAACACAAAGTTAATTTTTGTGAATTTACTATTTACATTTTTTTGTTGAAGTTAAAAGTTTAAATCTATTAAAGTGTCTTTGACTTTTATTAACTATTGGAATTAGTTTATGACATTGGTTTCATGTGCATTGCATTTAAATGTTAAGTCGCTTACAACCTGATAACGCTTGTAACAAATTATTTATTTTTGAAGTTGGAGAACCATTGATGGGTTTTAGCAAGTGACCTGATCTGATAGACAAACTTAAAAAAAAAAGTTTTAGTAATAATTGACATTGAGTAAATTGGATGTATTTGAAGTGCACAGTTTGATAAGTTTTGACATATGTATATACCAGTTAATCACCACAATCAATATTATGAACATTCATCAGTTTCATAAGTGTCCTAGTTCCCCTTGTAATCCCTCCTTCCTGCTACCTCCACTCTAGGTAACCACAGATCTTCCTTCTGTCACTGTTCATATAAATGGAATCATACAGTATGTACTCTTTTTTGCCTGGTTTCTTTCACTGAGTGTAATTATTTAGGATTCAGCCATGTTGTATGTACCAATAAGAGTTCATTCCTTTTTATTGCTTAGTAGGAGTCTTTGTATGGAGATTTGTTTATCCATTTTCCTGTTGATGGACATTTGACTTTTTTCTCTTACAATGCTGGTAAAATTTGCAGCAACTTTAAAGTTTTGTTTTTTTTTTAAACTAGTGACCATTGAAAAATATAACTTGGTTTTGGTATGAAAAACGTTTTTAGACATGTTGGCTATATTTTACAGTTCCCTGACCGAGGATATCCAAAAAATGATTTTGTTTGAATTTGTTGCTCTTCCATTAAAGTAGACAAATTGGATTTGTTCAATAGACATATTTATTAATACTAAAAGATACAATTTTGTTACTTATGCTTGGCTGAAAGCAGACCTTCATACAGTGGTGACCTCGAAATAAGAGTAGATTGATTACAAATACGTACTGAGCACCTACTGTATGCTAGACACTGTTCCAAGCCTTGGGCACAAAGCATTGAATTCTACTGTTAAGGCAGATTTACTGCTGTCATGGAGCTTATATTCTTGTGGGTGGGAGATAGTGAACAAATATACAGAGAAAATGTAACCTTGTGATAAATGCTTTATAGTCCTATGAAGTGACTGGAAGGCTACTTTTGATTGGGTGGTTAGAGAAGGTCCCTCTGAGGAGGTGACATTTAAATGGAGTCTCAGTGGATAGAAGGGGCTAGCCATGATAAGGTCAGGGAGAAGAGCATTCTTGACAGATGGCAATAGCAAGTGCAAAAGTTCTAAGGTTGGACAAAATTTTGTATATTTTAGGAACAAAAAGACCATTGTGATTGCAGTGTAGACAGTATGATTAGAAGAGTGGAAGATGAGTTCAGAGGGCTAGGCAGAGGCTAGATTACTCTGATTGTAAACCAGAGTAAGAAGTTTGGATTTTGTTTGTAAACTGTGAGGAGAAACTGTCCCTGAGATGGGGTGGGACGAAGTGAGGAGAAGATGGCATCCTCTGATTTGAGTTTTAGAAAGATCATTCCAGCTGCTGTGTAGAGAACAGTTTGTAGGGGTACAAATATGGAAGTGGATTATTGCAGTAGGTTAACTAAGGATACTGAGTTAGAGTGATTATAGTAGCAGATGATTCAATAATAATTTTTATTTATGTCTGAGAGGTTTATTTATCTTAGGTCTATATAGAAGTTGCGGGAAACTTGTTTAGTTCCATTTCTGTCACTGTTTCAGTTCTCTTCTAATCATGAGAATGAACATAATTCATTGGTTCTTAAAGGCGGTTGCTGGGTTGGCTGTATAGGATTCATCCAGAAGAGCTTGTTAAAAATGCATTTCTGGATCTTACTTTCTGAGAGTTTGGTTTAGATAAAGGAACCCTGAAATGATGATTCACTCAGTAGCTATTTTGGGGTGGCATGTCAGCTCAGTGCTGAGTTTCTAAAAATGAATAAGACATGGTCCTTGTTCTTAGGGAGACAAAGTGCTTATTTTTTTTTATTCAAGTATTTTTGAGTTCATTTTATGTACCAGTGATTCAGATGAGAAATGAGTTAAGAAACTCAACAAAGATAAAAGAAGGAACAGGGCCAGGCATGATGGCTTATGCCTGTAATTCCAGCATTTTGGGAGGCCGATGCAGTAGGATCACATCAGCCTGGGAAGTTGAGGCTGCAGTGAACTGTGATTGTACTGCTGTATTCTAGCCTGGGTGACAGAGTGAGACCTTGTGTAAAACAAAATGAATAAAAGAAGAAACAGATGATACAAGTGTTAATGAGTTGTTAAGTTTAACCAGTTAAACCACAGGGAAGAATTTAGAAGATTCCCAGATCTCTGACTTGGATTGCTAGTTAAAAGAGAATTTAAGAGGGAAAACAAGCTGTGGGGGAAAGATGAAGAATTTAATTTTGGGTATAGAAACATCATCCATGTAGTTTTTTTTTTTTTTTTTCAGTTGGACATACAGTCTGCAGCCTCAGCTGCAGATAAAACTTTTGAGCCATCAGTGACTAGATGGTAGTTGTCATCATGGAAAATGGATGAGCTGGCACTGCAGAGTTTGTAAGTTAGGAAGAGGAAGGCATTCAGGGACTAAACTTTGACAAACACCAATTTTACAGACAGGTCAGATCAACTGAGAAGAAATGTCAGCCGTAGGAGAAAAACCAACAGCACAATGTTATATAAGTCGTGGCAATGAGTGAGTTTTAAGAAGCAATTCATTATTATTTTATATTTGGAGTTTCCTGAGGTTTCCTTGTTTAATAAGAGTGGTCTTTTGACTTTGAAGTGAAGATGAAACATTGAAGCCCAGAAATCCCTGCAGGAGGAAGAATCAGCAGCAAAACCAAACCAGAAAGGAAGGAGAAACGTCAAGGATTGGCTGTGCCATAGAAACCACAGGAGGAAAAGATTTTAGGGAGAGGATTAAGAGTATTCAAAGCCTCAAAAACGGTTCGGTAGAGTACGGACATGGGGGTCAGAAAACCTGGCTTCAGATTCAAATTCTTTCCCTTTCTAAGCAACTTAGTTAACCTCCATGAGCAACTGTTGTTTGTTTATAAGATAGATTTATAGTACCGGTGTTAGAGGATTGAAGTGCGTATGAAAATGTCTAACATTTGCAAAGCATGTTAAGTTTTAGGTACTCAGTAATACTCGTTTTTACAATTAAATTTCTTAGAAATAAGGTTTGCCTTGGATAATCCCATAGTATGTAGGGCATTGAGAAGAGTTTAAGGTCACTACAATTTATCAAGTGCTTAGTGTTGTCAGTGAGATCTAGAACATTTCAGTTTTGAGGAAAGTAGTAGAGAATTAATAGAAGAAATGAAAATGTACACTATATATCTGAAAGATAACCAACTTCATTAATTATCAGGGAAATGCAGTTGAAACGAAATGCCATTCTTTTTGCCCACAGCTCACATAAGTGTAAAGAATTTCTAAGTACTTTCATGAGTATGGCAAAATGGATAGTCTCATACTATTGGGAACAAAAATTGGTACAGCCTTTTTGGAGACCAGTGTTACCAGTAATTGTTAAAAGGTTTAAATACACATAGCGTAGAATGCAGAGCCTAGAATCAGTAGGTAGGTAGCCTAGAGAGCCTAATTGTTTATATACACAATTAAGCATTTACTAGGATTTTCAAGGCAACACTTTATAATAGCAGAAGGTTGTTAGTAAGCCAGATGTAATCAATAGGGGAATGGTTAAATTAAGTAACTAAATTATCTTTTAGTTACTAGTATGTGCTAGTTTGAAAGAATGATACAGATTTTATGTACTGAAACGGAAAGATCTCTAAAACATTGTTAATTTAAGAAGAAACTGCAAAACAGTACTTGAAGTATGAGCTTGTTTTTAAAACCCCACAAAATGATTTCTACATGTAGTATTAATAAGGAAATACATAAATGGATAGATAGGTAATTTTTTTTTTTTTTTTTTTT